ATTAGAAAACAAGATCATTATTCTTGAAAAGAAAATAATTGATGAAGAAACTAAGAATGAAAAGTCAGAATTAGAGAATAATACTGATTGCATGTGTGATGTTGAAGATTGTAAAAACTGTCCTGAGTTACAGAAACAAGTATCATACCTAGTAAAAACTTCATCTAAAATAGCACAAGGAAAGATTAATCTTGATAGGATACTTAATTCCCAAAAATTAGTTATTGAACGTGGTGGCATAGGTTATACACCATCTATTGGAAAGAAAACCAGAGCATTCAAAAATTATTTTGCATATAGTAAAACAGTTTCATCTCCATTTATTAAATGCTTTTACTGTATGAAAAAAGGACACTCTGTTAAATATTGCAGAATTAAGAAATATGCCGTACCCAAAGGTAGAATGAAGTGGATTCCCAAAAATTCACTTCATATAACATAAGTGGACCCGGGAATTAAAAAGGGGTACCAGAAATATGCCTAATTTGTTTTGCAGGAACAAGTCTGGGAATCCCTTGAAGATCAGAGCTGCGAAACCAGGTTCTGATTATTTAAACTAATTGTTTTAATTGATATATAACAATAATAGTCGATTAAAATAACTTACAGAGATATCAGAATATCTGTCCGTACCATTTTAATCGATTGAAATGTCGAAATAATCGATTTAAATGTTCTCAGGATTTGAGTTTAACTTTTTTAATCGATTAAAATGAATTTATATCAACTAAAATCACTAAGGTATCAAATTTAATCGATTCATTTTCCTTTTAATCGATTTAAATTCTGGTATCATCTTCTAAATCTCTTCCAATACAGAAACAATCGATTCTTTCAAGTATTAATCGATCATTTTACTATTGCATTTTCAAAACGAATATTAAAGATCAAATTAAGAGGATAATTTGTTGTTTAATTAATTTGTTCTTGAAAATCAATTTCATAACATCAAATTGAAGATTGGTAAATGAATTCAAATAAAAAACCCAGGTCTTTATGATAATCCATAATCTGCATAATGTGTTTAAAATTTCTTTGACCAAGTCAAACATATTCCCAATAGCTGCAGTACCCACTGTCCTGAATCATCAAACCAGGTTCTGAACTTATCATTTCTCAACTTATATCTTTCTTCGGTTTTCATATTTTCAAAACCTCCTCTTAATTCTTACTGCAAACATGATCAGAAGCAACACAGAAATCCATGGTTTCACTGTAATATTCATTAGAGAATTTAGACGTTTACATTAGATTTCTGATATTACCTAGCAATATATTTGAAATAAATTTGGGCATACATTAGTTCAAGACTCTTGGTGAAATTTATTGGAATTGTGCAACTTTGATAAATTGTCTTAATCATAAAAATCACGAGGTGTCACTGTAAGGGAACCAATCTGTGACAGCAATTCAAGAATTGAATGAAAAGCTACAAGTACCACAGGGAATGTATGTTTTATGGTCAGTACAGGGATCAATGTTATACTAATGATCTGGCATCCTTAACAACAAACCAACAAGAGGATCTCTCAGTAATTCGAAAGGAATTTCAGATGTTTTGATGCCCATGATAATAGTGATGTATGAAATATGTATGGGTATGGTCATTGACCGGGGAGTCCTGGATTGCTGTCATCACTAGTTCTATTTTGTATACATGTGTTCCAGTATATAATACCACAGGAAACAACAAAGCTGAATAAAATTCATTCCTCAGAGATGATAATGACTGATCTCGGTACGTCATTAACCTATGATTCATGCAATTTATGGTATCATGCATTCTGTGTGGGATTTGATACTGAATATACGTCGGTCAGTACATGGTTTTGCCCCTAATGTGTAGTAGAAGATAATTCCATTGTAAGGTCAACCGTGGACTGTTATGCAAAAAAAAAAAAAGTAACAGTAAATACCATGCAAAAGATTCCTTTTCAGGAAAAAGTTTCTGTGTCTATTACTGATACAGGAAAAACTGCTGTTGGTGTCTCAATGGTTAGTAAAGCAAAATTGGTTTCAGCAAAAAGTGAAGCCTATGCCCTTTTAAAGTTGGTAAGGATCAAATGACTCAGTCATGAATTTTGATATCTGACACAAATAATCAGGGAAGTATGGATAAAAAGGGTCCCTTCTTACCTTATCTCTTATTGCTTTTTAAATGCTTATTTTTCTGGGTCTGTAAGATTACTGGTTATATACCAGGCACATTTGCTTTAACCTTGACTGATATAATACAGGTTTTAATTTGGATGAAACTGACATAGATAAAATTAGCTCATAGATCCCTGAGAATTTTAATTCTGATATTATTGGATTTATTAGTAAAAAGATATTCAATATAGTTGATATTGTTCTAGAAAATCAGTCACAACATATCCAATAGATTAGATATAAGAGATTCGCATCAGATATATCATAGTTTTCAAAATCTGAATGTTTTAATCAATAAAAACATCATTTAAATCGGTTAAATGAACTTATATACCATTTCTCATTACTGTTTTAATCGATTAGAAGTCGAAATAATCGATTAATTGCACTAAAGTTTCATGTTTTCAAATTCTTACATATTTTAATCGATTAAACCCTTATTTCAATCGATTAAAATCATGGCCAAAAGCATTTTAATCGATCATGTTCTGTTTTTAATCGATTTTTATTCTGGAAAGAAAGATTAAAGGCTTTAGTTAATGGCTGTTCCTGTAACATGCTACTAAAGCGTGATTCCCTTATCTTTACACGTATTAATTGTATTCATTACAAACGTGTTAATGAAGATAAGCTTGAATCAACTTTAATTGATCTTTACATGAGTAAAATATTGATTTCCTTTTATTTTCAAAAACTCCAACTGTTGAAAACCTTTACTTTATTTTCTCTTCTATTCCCTATTTTTGATGAAGTCAAAAGGGGGAGAAATAGTTGCTTTACTTTAGGATCAAGTTAGAGAAATAAAACCTTAAATTAGGGAGCAACATTTTAGGGGGAGAAATAAGTTTTAGGGGGAGAAATAGGACATTAATACATTTTTTAATTTCTCACTAATCTGTATTATCAAGTGACTTCTCTTGCAGAGTTTGTTTTTCAAAATGGTGTTTGTCTTCATCAAATAGGGGGAGACTGAAAGTGATGTGGAATATCTTGGCAAAGATCTCATTGATTTGATGAAGTCAAAGATGAAGTCAAAAGGCTACTCTGCAGCAGTCAACAAGTCACTCAGATAAAAGAGTTAGAAGATTAGTGTGTCTAACAGAATGCTTAGGTAAAACCACATTACCTTTTCTGCTGCATGAAGTTTCTTCACTCAATTCATTTTGCAAAATGCCTCAAAAATCGTTTTAAACAAATTAAAAACAAAAGCATTTTGACAAGAACTTTCTTAATAAAGATTTTAACTGATATAGCTTTGAAAGAACCGATTAAAATCACTTAGAATGATCAAAGAAGTGTTTTTACAGTATTTTAATCGATACAAATTACTTTTAATCGATTAAAACCCTTTAGAACCCATTATGACCGATCAGATTTTAAATATGGGCGATCAGAACTTATTTCAATCGATTAAAACACGTTTCAATCGATTAAAATCACTTAAAGGGTCAGAATGATCGATCAGAATGCAGTTATGACCGATCAGAGCTGGTTATGATCGATCAGAATTGAATTATGACCGATCAGATCTTTTTCAATCGATTAAAACGCATTTCAATCGATTAAAACAACTTGGAAAAATTTTGTGCAGAGTTTCAATCGATTAAAATAACTTGGAAAATTTATGTACAGAATTTCAATCGATTAAAACGAGTTTCAGCCGATTAAAACATCTTGGAAAATTCTGTACTAAGTTTTAATCGATTAAAACTTCTTTTTATCAGTTAAAATAACTTGAAAAGTTTTATAAGAAAGTTTTGCAGTATATCAATCGATTAAAACACGAAACAATCGATTGAATAAAACTTAGAAAAGTTTTGTAAAGTGTTTTAATTGATATAACCGATTGCAGTATCAACTAAAACAATTACGTTAAAGAAACAAGAACGCATTAATGGATTGAAAGGACTTTTAACAGATTGAAACGGCTATTTCAACGAGATTAAAACAAACTTTCAACAGATTAATTAATGCAGCGAGTTTTTGAAATTACTCTTTAAAAACAATTTTGCTTGAACTTTTTAAACATACTTTGAATATCAGTTTTTACACATCCTTAAACAATCATTCAAGCAAACCTTAGAACTTTTTCAAGAAAGATTCGCAACAATTTTTTTGAAGTTATTTTTTAAAATCTTTCTTGAGGCAACTTGCATTCTTTTGAAGAAGAAACTCTCTGTAGATTTGGATAAACTGGTTTGAGCTTTCTAGTTTCTTCTTTGTAAATTCTCTTTCATTCTTTTGTATTGTGTTGTGCCTGGAATTTGGGCACAAGTTTCTCTGCAACTGGAAGTTGGTCGTGGAGGTTATCAAGAACTGGAATTTGGCTCTTGGTGAAAGGTTTGGTGCCTGGAATTTGGGCACTGGTTTCTCTGCAGCTGGAATTTGGTTCTTGGTGGAGAGGTTAGGTGTTGGTGCCTGGAATTTGGGCACTGGTTTCTCTGCAGCTGGAATTTGGTTGTAGAGGTTATCAAGAACTGGAATTTGGTTCTTGGTGGAGAGGTTAAGTGCGAGGAACTGGAATTTGGTTCTTGTGATAGATTAGGTGTAAGATTGTTGAATCTGTAAAACATTTAATCTAGTGGAACCCAGCTGAAATTTGGCTGGAGACTGGACGTAGCCCTGGTATTGGGTGAACCAGTATAAAATACCGGTGAAATCTTTCTTAACCTCTCTCTCATTTAAATTCAGTTACTGCGCTTATTTTAATTAATTGCTTTGAGATTCAAGAATAGATTAGTAAACTTAATTTTCGAATTAGATAATCTGTGAATTGCGAAAAACTTTCAAAGATCAATTCACCCCCCTCTTGATCTAAAACTACTTTTCTAACACGAAACACTCTTGTGATGTATGATCGTGAGCAAGAAAAGATTGGTTTCTGGAAAACAAACTGTGCCAAGTTATGGGAAAGATTACAGGAATCCATTGCCCTATCATTACCTCCAAATTCAGAAGCAAGCTATCCAACTGAAGCATTAGAGCCGTCAGTTGCTCCATCTTTGTCGCAGAATAATTCTCCTCCAGGTATTATGTGCTGCCAGTCTTCAAATGTGCTTAAAAGTATATACAGAGACATCATGGGTTAACATGGGCCATGTCAGAAGTTTTATATTCCTTATCTTTGTTCATCATGCTTTTAATGTCTCAGTAATTAGTGCAAATTCCTTTTATTTGAATACTCGTTGATGACGAATGTACTTTAACAAACTCAAATGTACAGGTGAACTTAAAATTGCACAAATAACAATGTTAATTTCCTTTAACATCAGTTATGTGGATATGAAGCCTCACATTACAGAATTGGCTGGACTCTTCGCTCATGGGTTAGATGTTAATACTTCCCAGGTTAGAAAATTATTACTACATCGCATGAATATTTATTGCTTAAACATTCAAGTTCAACTCACAATTTTAATAAAGTTAAAAATTGTTTGATTAAAAATGTACATGTACACATAGTACGGCTAGCATAGGTGGGGATTTTGGTAAGAGGTCCCAAGCTAAAGGCTCTCATAATTTGTGGTGATAACTTTCAGAAGTACCCAAACAAGTTATCCACTTTCAGTCAATTTACACTCTAATATGTTTTTTGTTACCTTATAATGGATGTTTACAGGTCCACTTACTGAATTTTACGTCAACTGGAAATGATTCCCTCAGTAAATGGGTCATAACCCCAAAACCGTATGCTCATTATATTTCTAACACTACTGCAACGGTAAGTGGACATATTTGCACAGCATTTTTATGAAGACTGCCCATTTGATGGTGATTTTCTGTACAGAATATAATTTCGCGGCTAGCTGAACATCGCATCCAACTTCCTGACTCCTTTGGAAATTATAAGTTGATTGATTGGAGTGTTGAGCCTCCATCAAAGTAAGTTTTTCCATTAAAAGGAAAAGCCCTAAATTGGGAATGTTATCTGTTCCATACCGTCTGTATTGTTATCTTGTATTAATTGTGGTTGGTTTCACATAATTCATTGTAACCCATGCTTTTCATTGTACATATCTGATATTTTACAAATTCGTAGCGTCGATTCTAGATTCAACAGATTGCTTTCTCAATTTGAAGCTGCGGAAAAAAAATTTGTGTTTGGATTTTAAATAAACTCTAATCATGGGTATGGTACGGCCCTTTAACCTTTTTTCTTAACTTTTCTTCTAATTAGTAAGTAGGGTATGGGCCAAAGAAACTTTTACGAAAAATCAAATTTTATAAAAGAGATAACTAAGAGAAAACGTATTGGATATAAAGGTAGACATCTATGAAGCAGAAACACTTCAAAACAGTCTAAACAGTACTCAAATATAAATATTTTTGAGACTTGGTACATGTTTTTAAATTTAACACTTATTTTTCTTTTCATTTGAAGATGAACTCCTCACCTCTCACTTTTTCTGGATATGGCCCATATGTTTGTATTTGGGTAATAACTAATTTATGTATTTGTCTATTATGTGTTTTGTCCCTAACTGGCTTTTACTTCCTGGTATCTGACATATTATATGCCTTTTTCATTGATAGTTGGAACTATTAATTTAGTTTTAATCATATTTTTCAGGACATTATATTTTTATTAGTTTATTAAGCAAATTATGAGATAAATAAGCTTTGAAATGGATCATCTGTATCTCCTTGTATTGCACTAGATAACATGTTATTCTATTGAAAGTCACCAACTTCTCAGTCTCTCAGCTTTTTATTTATTTATGATTACGGCTAGGCTTTATTTAAAGGTGGTTGTGCTTTGACCTTTCTGAAAATGATATCATTGTTTCTGCCTTGGGTAGTTGTGGTATAGCATATATAGAATAGAAGAGAATATCTTCTTCCTTTGAAAAGCTAACTGTAGGAATTCTGTCTCCGTTGCTATAGAATTTGCTGCTGTAGGCCTCACTGGTCTTGGTGACTGCGCTCTTTCTTTTTGCCACATGCTATCATAGAAACGGCATATTTACACGCTACTTGTTGAGTAGAAATTCTTAGGGTATAATGAGTAATAAGAAATTCTTAGTTGACATTCCATTAATTGGCGGGTGCAATGGCATCATTGTGTGGAGGTAAATTTTTAATATGATCCACACAACCTTTCATTTATAGAAAAATTTTATAATATTGAACTGAATGCCCCTGGTAGGCAGTCAGTGCCTATCTACAATTTTCTCGTTATTGAGTTATTGAATTTGCCTGATCAATATTAGTAACTCACTTTGTGTCCACATTTTTTAAAAGCAGTTAGAAAGACGATTTCCAAAATAATAAGGATAAAATTGTAACATTCAAAAATCCAGTTAAAAAACAAATTAGAAAAAGCAGTTACAAAATATTAAGGGTAAAATAGAAAGCAATTATGTACATCAATGGTTATAAAATTCAATCCCCTTAGTAGTATAGAATATAGAAGAGTATGGATGACAACTTCTGATATTTACACACTTGCCTATAATGATGCAGGAATTGATGGCAGCAATACTTCTGGGTCGTGGGTTTAGCTATTTTGGTGGCATTACTTGTAGGACTGTCAATATTAGGAACGTTCTTAATTTGGAGAAAAAGACAGCAAAACTTGCATTCATACAAGCCAGTGGATGCATCTGTTCCTGAGCAAGAACTTCAGCCATTATTTAAAAATCACACTACTGCTTCTTAATATCTTTCTTACTTGATAGTGTCAGTGTAGGTCAGTAGCATATTCAACTATTATCTAGATAGGAATTAATGCAAACCATATTCAGTCAACTGAAGTTTTTTTTTTTTTTTTTTCAAAGATATCAGGCTGTCACGATATCCGGTGATCATTGAACCCTGATAGAGGTATATAAAGATTTCTCTAGATATGTCATCATCTGTAAAAGCAATTTTGTTGTGAATATTGTAATATGCCAGATGAATCAAAGGGTGGCAGCAGAAGGTTGAAATACAATTTCATATATTGTAATAGTAACTTTGACATTTCGTTTCAGGTGTTACTTTCTACCGAGTTATGCTCTTATTTTTCAGTTTCTACTATTCTCAACTGGGAACTGTCAAATAAAGTCCAATGTACCAATGAAGTAGATTGGTTTGGGGGTAAATCCCTACTTTAATTCAAATGTACAGTTAATCTGCTTCATTATTGTATTTTTCTCATTATTTTCAAGCGGATTTGCTTACTTATCTACCAAAAGTGGATAATTGAAAGATAAAATAGAATCTGCTATTTCGGGATAAACGGCATTTCATAATCTTGTACACATGCTATCCATCCGTGTTTGAGACTGTCTACATATATCTTGACAATAGTATGCACCAAACGGAAAGCCCTTTTAAATCTATCACAAAATCAGTTTGTACAAGTTTAAATAGGTCCTGTATTTAAGGAAATAAGACTATATTATTTTAAAAAAAATTCTGATGCAATCATCTACAATTTTAATCGCAATTAATTTAAACAATCATTTAAGAATTAATTTTAGGTTTTTTTTAAGCGTTTGTTTCTTATATTCAGTTTTAATTTTCTGCCGTTTTCCTAAGTCCAGGATGTTCAACCAATGTAAAATTTGACCGCCAAAAGTGAATGTTTGTTTGACAAGAAAAAGATAATGCAGCGAAATGGGAAGAGATAAAATGGGACAATTTCTTCCTGCACCTCTATTCTTTCTCCATACAACTCTATATCCTAAGTAAAATAACTAAAACACCCTTTCAATAATTTTTGTTTCAAATCATAATTCCTTCTTCTATTTTCCTGTAAAAGTTCTACACCTTCATTTAAGATCCTTTTCAACACTTATATTAATATTATTTATCTATTACATGTTTTTACACTAATAATGCACATTGAGACCCATATTACTCAATTCAAAACAATTTTACAAAAATCAGATTGAATTCTGAATCATGTTGGGATAAAGATATTTGATTAACTAAATTATAGGTTTGTATAGTGGTACAAAATATTATATAATTAGAACTTTTTTTATTTAGTCTTGATTTGTTGGAGTAAACTATAAAATCATAGTATCTGTGTACAAAAATAATATGAATTAAAAATTATAGAATGAATTCTATATTTTTTAATTTGGTAGGCTTAAAATTTTTTTCTTTTTCTTTCTAAATCCTTGGAGATCTTAACTAGAGAGATGGTAGAAAAACTAATTCCAATAGTTGTTCAATTTGAAGGTGTCTTTAACGTAGGCATCATCCTAAATGAATCTAATTGTGACGTATGATCACAACTAATAGAGTTGCACATTGCAAAAAGGAAAAAATTGTCCTACATCCGTGGGAAGGTGAAGTTTCCAACATAGAACGATGAGGGATATGAAAAATGGTATGCTGAAAACCAAAAAGTGAAAAGTGGCTATTGATGTCCATGAAGCCAAAAATCATGAAAATGTATCTTCACTTACCCACTGTTCTCGATATTTGGAATGTTTTGTCAAAGACATTTTATGATGGAAATGATGAGCTATAGGTGTTTTCCCTGAATCAAAGGGCATTCACTACAAAACAAAATAATAGAACCTTAATTGAATATTATGGAGAGTTGGTTGAGATTTTTAGGGAATTGGACCATCGTGACAAAGTTGTCATGAAAGACCCTGATGATGTGAAGTCATATAAGAAGTCCATTGAAAGATTAAGGGTGCATATATTCTTTGTTGGACTAGATAATGATTTTGAGCAAGTTTGTGGAAAAATCTTGCACAAGGAAGTGACACCTCATTTAGAAGAATGTTATGCATTAATCCGGAGAGAGATAGTTCGGCGAACAACGTTGAAAACAAAAGATATGATTTCTGATTCCACAACTATGATGACAAAGAATCAACCAGCAAATCAAAGCAATCAAAAGATTTGGAAAAAGGTAACTATAAGTATACTCAGTGTCATAAGGATGGACACACCAAGGAACGATGCTATGAAATCATAGGATACCCTGAGTGGTGGGATCACAGTCGAGCATCGAAGAAGAATTAAAAAAGAAATCTAACTGCTACTGCTGTAACTGTCATTGACAAAGAAGACAACAAAGACATGATGTTTGCTACAATCGCAGGTAGTGATAATTCCAATGATAAGGCTTTAATAAGCAAATCTACCGTTTTGAATAATACATGGACAATTAACTCTGCATGTTCTGATCATGTGACTTTCGATGTTAGACAGATTAAAAATCTTAAACCTTTCTCACAAAAAAGTATTTCCACAGTCAATGGTAGTAAATTCACTATTATTGGAGAATGAACTGTCTCTATTTCAAACAATTTGAATCTTGATACTGTCCTTGTTGTTCCTTGTCTTAAATATAACCTATTGTCAGTCTCGCAAATAACCAAAGCTCTTTTATGTATTGTAATTTTTGGATCTGACTCTTGTATTTTTAAGGACATTCAAACGAGGAAGACGATTGGTTGTGATATTAGGCGAGGAAGATTGTATTACCTGGACCTGACAGAAAATGATTCAAAGAGGCTTGGTCAAGTGCTAGCAACAAAAGGGTCTCAAGAAGTAAGAAAAGGCGAGGATATTTGGTTATGGCATAAGCGTCTAGGACATGCATCTTTTGATTACATAAAGAAATTATTTCCAAATGTATTTGACCAAGTAGACACTTCAACTTTTTATTGTGATGTTTGTGAGCTTGCAAAGAGTCATAGAACATATTTTCCTTTAATTTCAAATAAAAGTTCTCTTCCTTTTATGATCATTCGCTCTGATGTATGGGGTCCATCTAAGGTTATAACGTTGGGTGACTCAACGTGGTTTGTAACGTTTATTGATGATTGTACTTGAATGACTTGGTTATGTTTGATGAAGTCTAAAAGTGAAGTTGGAGGCCTATTTCAGAAATTCTGCAAAATGATTAAGATCCAGTACAACGTATAAGTTCAGGTACTGCATAGTGAGAACGGAGGAGAATATATGCAATCAGAACTTCAACATTTTTTAGTAGTCAAAGGAATTGTTCATCAGAGATCTTGTCCAAATACTCCACAACAGAATGAGGTGGCAGAACGAAAGAACCGTCATCTATTGGAGATGGTCCGAGCTGCACTGATTGGAGCTCGCATACCAGCAATATATTGGGGAGAAGCTCTCACATATGCAGTATACACTATCAACCAAACACCGTCTAGGTCTCTTGAGTATAAAATACCTCTTTAATCACTTACAGATGCAGTAGTAAGTCCTAAAATTGTTGAACTAACACATAGAGTGTTTGGTTGTGTTGCTTATGTTCACTTACACAAGCATAAGAGAAGTAAGTTGTCTCCTAGAGCTGAAAGGTGTGAGTTCCTTGGCTATGTGGATCACCAGAAAGGATATCTGTGACACCTTTAATACCAACATTCACTTTATTATGATTTATTAATTATTATTGGTTCCTCTTAGTATTTGATTACCAATACACTCTTGTAGAAGTAAGGTACATAATAATTAGAACATACACTTAGTTATTAATATACATATCATTCATAATTATCAAGTATAACTAGATAGTAAATATACACAAAGTCATCCCAAAATACACTTAATAAGGGTTCATAAGACCAGAGCAGACAAACTAACTATACAACCTAATTAAAGAGGAGATATATTCCGTACGTCCACTAAAATGAAGTATCTCTTGTAGCACTGTAGTGGTGTCCAATCAAGTCCTCTACTTAGTACTTGCAGTGATCGTATTTAAACTTTACTTGGAGATGATACCGGGGATGAGTTGTGTTCAACGTCACCTATGCAAACATTTCATAATAACAATACATGCACAGAAAGGGTAAGACAACTTTATATTCACTTAGAGCATGCAAATAACATTGAGTTAATTAGAAATTACACATACAAACATACTAGTAATCAACACACAAATGATATGATATTATGAATGCAATGTATGCACTAATATTTTCTAGGACACATCCTAGTATGCAAGACCATGGGGATCCCAAAACCACTTTCTCTTTTCTCTTTTTGTTTTTTCTTTTCTTTTCGAGAAGGATCAGGAGTTTCACTGGAACCTCTCACCGCCTCGCGGTAGTATACTCATAATTACTTGTCTAGCCCAATTGATCATGAGTAACCCTGGGGCTTTAGTCAGGATAATCAAGCTTGGTAGTGAGAGTCTCACAGCTTAGGTAGCGAGCCTGAGCCACATATGAGCTCGATCACACTCAATCATCCCCGAGGTTAGCATGGAACCGACCCTGATTTTCCATATCCTCCTCATACACTCAATCTCTGACTCATGAACTGAAAGTGATCCTAGCAAAGATCTCATTGATTTGATGAAGTCAAAGATAAAGTCAAGGGTCAACTCTGCAGCAGTCAAACAAGTCACTCAGAACAAAGGAGCTGAAGACTTAGTGTGTCTAAACAGAAAGCTTAGGTAAAACCACTTTACCTTTTCCACTGCATAAAGCTTCTTCACTCAATTTGCAAAATGCCTCAAAAATAGTTTTAAACAAATCAAAAACAAAAGCATTTTGGCAAAGAATTTTCTTAAACAAGTTATTAAGCTGATAAAGGTTTGAAAGAATCAATTTAAAACACTTAGAATGTTTTAAAAAGTGTTTTTACAATATTTTAATCGATACAAACTTCTTTTAATCGATTAAAACTCTTTATGACCGATTAGAATTCGAATGTAATAGGTCAGAATGCAATATAATCGATCAGATCTTAAATATGAGCGATTAGAATTATTTTAATCGATTAAAACACGTTTCAATCGATTAAAATCACTTTGGATGTCAGTATGATCGATCAGAATGAGATTATGACCGATCAGAGTTGGTTATGATCGATCGAAATTGAATTATGACCGATCAGACTTATTTCAATCGATTAAAACGCATTTCAATCGATTAAAATAACTTAGAAAATCTTTTCAATCGATTAAAACGAACTTTCAATCGATTAAAATGA